TATTCATTCTTCTTAAAACTTTAGTAGCCGCTAATTATGGTGATCGTTTGTGAATAATAAAAAAGTCAGTATTAAAAGTTCAGAAAATTGTTTTGGTAACCATCTGTGAAAAACTGAAAAGTAATTTAGAATAAAAAAAATTGGATAACATGTAAATATTTTAATGGGAACTTTCATAATTATTGTTATATAAGAGCTTTGATCTTAAGATTGCTTTTGTTTAAACCAATAAACATCCCAGTCATTATAAAAGCCCCAAGTTATTTGTAATAAGGCGAGTTAGTTGGCTTAAATCAATTTGCGCCAAGAAACCTAGCATCAGTCTGCGCATAATCAGAAACGTGTTTTATTATTTAGTAATCATGTTTGTTTGTTTATCTGCTGTTAAACACAAAGCTACACAATAGGCTATCTGTGCTTTGCTTACCGCAAGTACCAAAAACTCAATTTTTAGTGTTATAAGTACTCAGACTTATCGCTGAGCCATCGGGAAGAGCAACCATGGTAACATTGTATTTTTTTCATAATTCGTACATGTGTCTAAGGGATGGAAAAATAGGAATTACCGTATCAAAATCTTTTAAACTAGAGTAAATGCGAAACATATTTACGTTCTGAGAATGCAGCTAAGCTTGAGGGCTTGTAATGCTAAAATTTAATGTGCGATCCCTACAGCGCAATTCCTGTGATAGTTTGCGCTTAACGACCAACAAACAAAATTCTTTAAATTATTATTTTCTTTTGTTTTAATTCTTTCAAAACTCGAAATTAAAATTCGTTCCCATTTCACGCAAACATTTGAACATCGAAAGTCATTAGTATTCTTTCTTTGGAAGATTAAATAAAAGCTGCTTAATGCATCCTTCCAATTATAGAATGTTTATCCGAAGGAGCTGACGAAGCAAAACTTGACATTTAAACGTTTCAGGATATAAGATGTTAAAAAATGAAAACTAGCACTACTGCAGACTAATCTTGAATTAAAGTCGAGCAGACATTTATTAAGCAAATGACGATTATAAAGACTTCTATGCCGAAGGAAACGCTTTCTTCAGTGAGTCATTACAATAATTCTCCAAAAGTATAAAAACCTCTCCAACTAACTCATGTATGTATCTAAAATCCCCTGTCGCTAGTTTAGGATATTTAAGGTCTGTAACGGTGTTAATAAACAAATTGAACATCAAATGGTGTTTCGATCCGTTTTCTTCAAAAGTTCAAGTTATGTATACGTAACCATACATTTTCTCCAAGGTTGGGCGAAAAGTTAAAAAGAATAAATCTTGCCATTGAATTGTTATAAAAAGTGGCATGGCATAGCTTGGTTGTTATGGCGCTCAACTCGCCATCTGCGGATCGCTGGATCGAGTTCCGTCATCCAATATGCCCAACCTTTCAGGCATGAGGTCGTTATAATATGTAAACAAACCCACTATTAGTTGGTAAAGAGTAGCCCAAGAGTAGGCGGTGGGC